CAGTCCACTTGGTGCAACAGCTCTCAAGGGGTGATCACTCCTTTTTAACTACAGATTAACAAGAAGATCTGGTGCAGGTGGGGAAGGAAATTGACAGGGTGATTCCATATTATTTTCCTTGGAATTGAATGATTCCATAATTATTTCCCTCTGCTTGGTCTAAAAAAGGAGACGTTTACTGAATAACTAGTTGTTTTCTTGATTTCCTTTAATGTTTTCTAAAGCTAGAAAGTTGCCATTTGAAATTCACTTAGTTTTGTGTCTTGTCTGTGATCTGCTTTTTTCTAGAAAATCAAACAACTGAATGAACATTCTCCAAGACTGGTGATTCCATAATTTATGCCAGGGGTTGTATAATGCACAATACCTTCATAATGCATCATAATGGCTAACACTGACCATTATAATCCATTATGAAGTTATTTATATCTTGTGTGTGTGTAAAACAGACACTACATATTGAATACATTAAGTGTGAATATAACAGAGGTCAGTATTTTTTTTTCTTTTGTGCGCACAACATACATGTAATGTCTATATTTAACCGGCACCTTTTCTAAAAAGGTGTATGATAGTGGGAAGAGGTTGCAAGTTTAGTGGGATTTGAAATCATGAGCTCTGCTTTATCTGTTGAGCTACAGGAGAGTGAGAGATGTAATACGAAATCGTACTTTAGCATTTTTCAACATTGGGTTATTGCGCAATATATGGAATGGATGCCAAAAAACTGAATAAAAAAATAACGGTCTTATTTACAGTGGATTTAAAGGATTAGGTACAATCAACAAGAACAGTATTTACAAATTAGAGCATTTTAACACTTGGTTCATTCACTTAGAGTATACCAATTCCTTGCCCATCAAATAACAAGGAATATTGGCAGCTCTTGCTTGACGGCTCAATTCATGTTTTGAATGGTTACATGTGGTTAATCTCTCTCCCCGCTTTTATCTTCAGCCTCACATGTCTGCAAAGGTTGAAAAAGATGTCAAATACTTTTTGAGTTATTGTGCTAAATGTCTGAAACTACCCTTTTTTGCTATCACTATGTAGTGCTGCTCCAGTTCTGAAGCGATTGGTCTCGAAATTTGATCACTTCCAGTTTGTTACCCCTTACAATGTGCCATAAAATACTTTACTTCAAGACCAAGCACCTTCTACAGCTGCTGTTTCCTTACTCTGCTCTCACACAGGACTGTCATTTCATTTTTGAAGGCAATTTCTCTAAAAAATCAAACCAGGTATATATGTTTTATGAAGCCATAATAAGGCCCATCAAATGGTTTAAACTTCTCACATTCACAAGGTTAAATGTCATTTGCTTTCACCCTTCCCTTTGCTACCATTAAGCAGCATTGTTTCAGTTTTGGGGAAATCTGTCTCAAAATTTAAACAGTTCCACTTTGGCATCCATATAATGCCTTTACAAACCTTGAAAACGTCGCATCTAGGGCTGCAACTAACGATTATTTTGATAATCGATTAATCTGTCGATTACTTTTTCGATTAATCGATTAATCGGATGGGGGGGGCAAAAAACAATTTGATTTCCAGCAATTTTTAATAACCCAGTCTGTCTTTGCACACAAGCTGTTTCCAGCAAGTCACATAAAAAACAAATGTATGCTACATTAAGAGTATACAAAATTTTTTTATAA